CCATAATTAATTAGGCTAAATAATAATAAGCTTTAATTAAATATTGATTACATAAGTCCATTTATTTTAAAAAGGAGGTCCGGCCTAAAGGAGGAATGTTCGTTGGATTAAGAGTAGTATTTAAACATCTTTCATGTATCATTATAAGATTTTTTAGTTGAAATATTTAGGAGACCTAACCAACTTGGAAATTAATAAAATTTAGATTTATTCTTTTAAATATTCAAGTATTTCTTTGGTTTGGACTAGACTAGATTACTTGGAGCATGCTTGTTAGAGTGATCGCCTAATACAGATTTTAGATTGTTAAAGGCAAGAGTTTAAGGTTGTTGTTTCAAGACTTTTTGCGGGTTTATCCTATAAGTGCCTTTTAGTCTAACTTTATTTAGAACTTGGACTAGTTTTAGGGTTAGATAATTGGACTTGCATGATTTTATAATAATGATAGATTTACTTGCATAAACTAATCAACATAATTCCTAAAAGTTGCTATCAAAACCTATATGCATTAAAGGGTTTAGTAGGACTAAAACTTTACAAATACCTTGTACTAGACCTCTTATAGTTGTATATAAAATTTGAGGATATTTGGAGTTTTCTTGAGGGGTGTAGGACATCAATTTCCTTACTATAATTTTTGAACACTTTAGAGATAGATTTAGGTACATGATTTTGATAGAACTAAATAAGGCCTTAAGCAAATTTGTTTGATCAAAAATTTTGCATGCTTATATTAATTTTTTTTAGGTAGATTGTGGTAAAAAGTTTTGTTTGGAATAGTTTAGATTGGGGAACACTTAAACCCTATCCGATTAGCTTCGAGTACCTTACTTGTGAAATCTATTTTGTGTTTGAAATTGGATAAAGGATTTGATTATTATAGATTTTTAATATAGTTTTTTGGTTATTGAGGTAGAATATCTTATAGAGGATTCTATCTTGTGATTGTTGATTGAGATTCCATAAGGTTTTGAGGCATCGCGTTATTTTGGGATCATAAACTACATGGAGATTTACATGGTAGATTTGTTTTGCCTCTAACATAGCCTTCGATTGCTTCATTCATTCCTCTAACTCAAAAAAGAACATTCGATAAGGTGTCATAGCTGATGGCTTAGTACCCAACACCAATACCAATTCAATCTACTCGATAAATCTTCTTTTTTTTTAGGTAAAAAATTTTTAGGAATTTTTTTATGGCATCACATCATCAAACTCAGCCAATACCTTGGCAATTTACTTAGCCATCGGACACCATCATCTTTTATTAGCCCTATTTTCTCAATGTTGCCAAGTAATAGGCTTCGCTACATTGAAGCCTTTCTTTACTTGTATGGTAGAAAGAAACTTCATTTATAATTTATCATGCACCATAACTAGCAAGCATATACAATGTCTTTTCCTTCAAGATTACCATTGGCTCTAAGTATGGGGTAAGTATGATTTTGGCTTACTTAAAGAAATCCATGCCTAACATAATCTTGAATTCATCCATTATGACAACTATAAAATCCAACGTTTCTTTCCATACACCAATACCAAGGCTCACCTAACACATCGTGCTTCTATTAGATTTTAGGAAAGCATTCACCATTTTCATATCGTTAGATGACTTGGTTGTCGTCAAACCAAGTCTTTTGGCCTCTTCATTGATCATAAAATTATGTGTGACACTCGTGTCTAGTACTATAAGAGTATGGTAAGAGAGATCTTTTAACTTCGTCCTTATACTCGGTATATGACTTATTCACTATCAAATCAAGCTTTTTGGCATTTGTTCTCAATCATATAATTATGTGTGGCACTAGTGTCTAGTATGGCAAGAGCTATCTTGTCATTCATATCTATACCTATATACATCGGCTCATTATTTGGTGGTACCTTAAGTGAGGATTTGACATTTAAGGCATTAAATAACCACAAAGACCTCATCTATTTCTCACTTTTAGAAGCACACTTTTTCTCTTCCATCATGGAATTGAAGGCTTTCTAGATTGGGCACTCTCATGACTAATGTGGCTTGTCATACAAGTAACAATCTTTGGACTTGAATTCTCTCTTGTCTTCGTCTATAATAAAATCTTTAGACTTATATGTTTTGTCATATCTATTTATACTTCTTCTTCTCTTAGGCTTTCCCACCTTTATCCTTGAAGTCTTTCTTAGGTTTGAAGGATTAACTTTTCTGTTTTTACTTTATTAAGAATTCAACTATGGCCATGACTTTAGTAAAGGTCATAGGTCGTCGATCTCATACCTTTTGTTGTGTAAATGGTTAAAGTCTCTTAATAAAGTCACATATATGATCATAACCACATACCTAAAATTTAAGAGAGACATATTCTCCGAGACTCGTAAATAATTCCCGTGTGCTTTAAGGTTTGTAGGTTGTCTTATACTTCCCAATCGACTTCTTTAGGGTAGAATTAAGTAGAAGCCACTTCTTTGAACTCAACCTAACTAGGTAGCTCACGATACTTTTATTCTTAATAAAACCCACTCGCCTTAATGTATTGTTCTACTTGTCGAAAAAGTTATCAATTTTTTTTGCTCTCCGCTTGCCAACATAGTGTCATGATATCAACATTTTAACTTTTGGTGTCTTTCAAGACTATAATTTTGGCTATAACTTCATGACAAATAAACCAATCTTTTTTTAAAAATTTTAAGGGTTTATTCGTACTGTGTCATTGCCTTTTGATGTTGTGCAAACACTTTTTTTGTCCAAATTAGCAAGAGCAACCTTTGTAGCATTTTCTTTGGCTTACCTCTCAACCGACTCTAATTGAATTTGGAAACTAAAAAGGGCCTCATATAGGACTACCATGCCTAGTGCCTCTTTGTTATCAACCTCTTCTATCTTCTTAAGTCTCTTCTTAAAGTCAATAAGTGCTCATTTGCTCTTAAGAGACGAGTCATCTAAAGCAACCATCACATCACGAGCTTCTCCTTAACTTTTTTAGATTGAGAAAAGAGAGTCCATTTTCTAGTATCCATAATGTTGTCATCAATAATGAAACTAGACATGCTTATTCTTTAAACGCTTAACTTACAACCAGATTTTGATACCACTTATCATGGACTTAATCTTTTTCTAAGTTCACTATACAGCAGTTGGCTCATTTTTCTCTTAAAGCGAACTAAGTCAATCTTTTTTCGTACTAAATTGTGAAGTAATAACATAAGAAGGATATTATGAAAGGTCTTTGTATTACTCTCTAATATTACAACTCTTAGATTGTAACTTTCTTAAACGATTTTGTCAAATATGGGCCTCACCTATTTATAGGCTCTCACCTCCTAAATGAATGGTTAAAATTAATTGGATTCAATAGCTACAAACTATTTTCTAAAATTCTCATATCTAGATATTTATAAAGAACTATCTAGATATATACACTTTAGAATAATCTAAGGACTCTCTAGAATTATCTAGGACATGTTCATGTTTTTCTTGAATAGCTTATAAGCTTTTTCAATGCTCTAGAGATTTCAAAAAGCTTTCAAGTCTATCCAACATTCTTTTTTAACCTCCAAAATGGTCTCTTTTCTTACAAAGTGTAACGATAAGCTTCTTTATTATTATGTTTTTCTTCGTAAAAAAGAATAAACCTATTATTTATAATTTAGTAACTATATTGATATGGTGTGATGTGATGGAGCTAGGAACCTCGAGTAATGATGTTTGATAAAATATTTTTTTTGTACAATAGCAAAGTTTGATAATGGAGGGTGATTAAACTAATTGAAATAGCTACAAAACAAGTCGATTAGTAGACCTTTTGACGATTAAATTAGCATTTAGAGCGAATGGTATTTTAAGATGCTATAATATAGTAAGGCAAATAGATAAAACATGATGAATAGTAGTTGTAAGTTGAGATATGCAAAATGCGAAAGACCATTTGGCTATTTATATAACCAAAGGCTTTGTCAAGTTGCATCAAATATAAGTCATGATAGTCTATTCTATTGTTGCAATCACATTTTGATTCCGACAAGATGATGAATGTCTTCGATATTAATGGATTACTATTGAAAGGATATAGTGATGTCACAGTTGTTGTCGATTTGACAAAAAAGCTATTTTAAAAGTACGCATTCATTTGATGAATGTATTTTTATTCTTATGGTTGGTAGAAATGGGTGCAAATCTCTAGTCGTTGGCATGATGCTTATGGATAGCTCTAACTACTCGTTAAAAGACTCGTCCGGACAATATTGGTATCTTTAAGATAGTCATAAGATTTTTAAAATTAGATCTAAATGAGATATCCGGAGTGTAAGTCTTGAAATTTTCACGTGTCATAATTAATTGGATACATAATTTTTTTAAATACATCAAGTTCGGTAAAATTTCATAAATTTTAACTCAATCATGATCTAAATTCACATTAGAGTGTTTTTTGCCGATGACTAATTAAAAGTCCTCAATGACTTTAGCGAGTAGTAAAAAGATTTTTAGCAAAAGCCCGTCAAGACATCACATAATCTCGGACAAACTAATCACTCTCGCAAATTAGTTACAAATTAATTTGGAAAATCCAACAACACCAACTAGATTTAAGTACCTTCCCACCATCTTCTCCTCCTAAAGAGATTTATAGAAACTAGAGCCTAAATAATTTTTTAAACACTATTTATTTAAACCACCAAATGCATTACAACTCTACAGATCGATGCATATTAGACATCATGTTCCCTTGATTGAATTCGTAGTTGTATTTCTAATATCCTAATGCTTCCACGTGTATATCCCTTAGGTTTCTCCTATTCAACAGACAACTAAATAATAGCAAATCATTAAAAATTGAAATAATTATCAATGGAATCCTAGCTAAGGGAGGGAAATTTCCATCATACCACACGCTTGGATCTCCTCCTAATTAATACAATCTCCTCCAATATATAGTAGCTGAAGCCTCTACTTGGGCTCCACAGCCTCCAAATTAAAGATCAAGCATCGATCGATATCTCAAACGTTAATTCAGTCCCTCGATATGGCTCAATTTCTTCTTCTTTGCCTTGTTTTAGCAGATGCTTTTGTAGGTCTAGCAATGGCTAGTGAAAAGGTTCAAACCATGGTGCAGCCTAACGCTGCACCATCCTCATACCCACAAGCTCCTACTCAGAATTCATACGAGGCTCAAGCGCCCATGATTAGGAAACTTGGGAAACACCACCACCATAAAACGGTCCAGTCCTTCGTTGCCCCAAGACTTAGCCCATCTATAGCTCCTCCCCAAGCTCAAGCGAACGTTCATTCTACAAAAGAAACCAGTTCTTTGGATCAAAATACGTCTTTATCTGAGCCCAATAGTACTGAAGAGAACGTTAGCATCCAAGTGCAAGATATTCACCTTCCAAACCATCATCATTCAGTGGATAAATCAGTAGCTGGAGGCGGTGTCATTCTTGGGGGTCTTGCCACCACATTTTTAGTGGCTGTTTTCTGTTACATTAGAGCTACTGGTAGACATAAAGCAGAAACTACTTGAGTTATCTATAGTCGTCTTGTAGGCATATGATAGGGAAAGAACATGTTCTTCAACACTGTAAAGAAAATAAACATCAATATATAGAAGGATATGGTTAATTTCCAAGTTTTATTTGTGAAAATGAACAGCCTTTTGTTTTAAATTTGCATCAGCAATATTCATAGATCTTTACCTGGATCTTGAATTGGAATAAAAAAATTCCTCTCCATGTTACTAGCGCCAGGGCATTGTGACAGTTGTTTGAAGTTAAATGTTTAGGCACACCTCGAATACAATCCCCAATAATTACTAGAGTAGTACCAATTTAATTTGTTATCAAACAATATTGTATATCAATTTTATTCTTTAATAATTTAGATTTCTTATTAGAAAATACTAAGTTTCTGATAAAACGATGTTATTTCTTGGGAGAGAGAGGAAAAAAAAAACGCTTGGATGGAATTTGTGATCGAACATATTAATAGAATATAGCGATAAAATTAATTAATAAATAAAAATATATAGAAATGAGATTATCTATGTTGTTGGAGGTCGTTTTTATGCTAAATGTTTTAATTAATTTTCAACTAAGAGAGAGTAAAATCACTTGATTTAAATCATTTTCTTGACTTGAATGTAAATTAATTATGATTTTTAACTTAATTTTGAATTTAAAAGTCAAATTTGATATTGGTGAAGAAACACCAAAAAAATAAAAAAGATGTATCCATGAGGCAAGAAAAGAAGTGCTTTGGCATGCAGATCACGCCTTTACTTGATGAATTTGCTTTTCTCATTTTGAAGGATCATATTTTCTAGGTGCCAGATCGTGAAAATGTCGTTAGTGGATTAATGAATTATTGTACGTAGAACTATCAATAGGTCAAATTTAAATTGAATAGTAGATCTAGATTCGATTTATTTAATAAAATAGATAAAATTATATAAATTTAAATCAGATTTTGAAAATGTGAATCTAGATTTGGATCTCAACGGATCGGAGCTTCATCAAATTTATCATTTTTTTTTGTAAAAATATTATTCTTATTATGTTTAATATACTATTTGAATATAAAATATATTTCAATCATTACATATATAATAAATATATTAAGACAAGATTTCATTTATCAATTTTGTAAAAAAATCAAAATGCCACACAATTCAAAAATACAAAATTAAATAATTTTAATAAAAATTTGTTTTGAACTACATAGGAATTACGATAAAACTAAAAAAATAAAAAATAAATAATTTTTATTTTATGTCTACATGGTAGCAAAATAATATTTGTTAATTCAAATTTCAAAACGATATTGCTACAAATCAAGGCTCGCAAAGAAAGAAAGAAAATAAAATCTATTAATATTATTATGTATTTTTAATAATTGGCTAATGCATAAAAATAAGGTAGAAATGTAATGAGCTAAGTAAATAAAATATTATAGGTTTTTCTCGTTTCAATTTAGAAGCCAATCACTTATTGTAGTTATTGCCCTAACAATCTCTAGAAGTAAAGATGTACGATAATCATCAATAACTCTACCTTTTGATACTAAATGGAGGTTCGAAAACAACAATAGTTGTTGGAACAACTAAAATATCACAAACATTTTTTATAAGGATAGAAAATAAATCACAATTTATTTTTCACCATTGCAAAATATTAAACTTGTTTGTTCTAGAATATATTGGTTCCTCCATGTATTGTTCTAGTTGTGACTTCTTTGTAGCATAAAGATTATAAGATCGAACTTATATATACTTTTGATCAAAGTTACTTTGTCAATCATCTTTAGAATTCACCAAAGCATTGTTGCTACCCGGCATATCTTTTAAGGATTTCAAGAAAGAATAATTACTTTTAAATTTGATAAAAAGATCAAAAATAGAATGACAAACTGTATGAACGTATTTGTAAGCTCCAATATCATGAATTTTTTCATAATAATACTTCACTAAATCTAGCTTAAATCTTGGATCAATAACCAAAGTAATAGCCAATACCAAGTAACATTCCTCCCAATATTTGATGAAATTTTCTTTCATTGGTTAGTCATTAAACGAATATATTCAAGCTCATTATTATTTTCATTCACTCAAACATCGTTGAATGTCACATATGTCAGAAAAGAAAACATTTGCAGCTAGAAAATGAGTTATTGAAAAATGGTTTGTTGCATCATAAAAAATTTTCAAGCCATAAATCAATTTATAATTTTTTTTCACAAAATTAAATTAAGAAAATGACAAAAAAATAATATATGTGATTTTTTAAAAAGTCATTGCGAAGGATATGCTTTATTCGAATTTTATAATGAATAAACTCTAAATTTCAAATTAGTTTCATATTTATATATTATATTTATTATAAAAATATTATTTTTAATTTCGGATTGGATTATTATAAAATCGGATCAAGATAGATTCGGATTTGATCTATTTAATAAATAGATTAACGGAGTTGAATCATAATCGGACTCGATTCAAAAAAATTATTTATCAAATTTATTTTATTATATCGAATTCGGGTCAAGATCTAATTCATTTACGACCCTAATTGCATGTGTGGCCAAAAAAAAAAAAAAAACAAAAGGAAAATGGAGTTGAAACCTATTTTTAACCTTAATGTATTATCTAATTTCAACTTCATCCCCCAAAAATAATTTTATCAATTACATTCTCAGCATATCAACTATTTTTCAATTGGGTTCTTTTATATAAAAATATTGTAATGTTTTAGCAGATTACATCCAATTATCTTTAAACTAGCAATGTCTAAAATTACCTTTTTACCCCCATTTATTATGGGAGGTAGTCATCTTACCCTTGCACTTCAAAGTTGGTCGATTGACACCCAAAAAAAAAAAAAAAAGGGATAAAATTTTGGTCAATTAGACCCTTGAAAAAGACTAAATTGTATCTTTTAAACATACAAGTACTTAATTAACATTCCTAAAAATTTCTGCCTCCACGTAGCGGTTGTCCCTTGCTAGCTCATTACCATTTCTTATTGATCAGTTATGTAATCAAATATCACAGTGTTAAGGTTGCTATTTTTCAGTTAACATTCTGAATATTTCAATCTTTTTTTTTTTTTTTTAAGCCTAACGTAAGGCAGTTTTATTCAATTAGCCAACATTTTATTAATTTTAAAAGCTGTTTAGAACCCAATTCAATTTAGAGCTTTAAATCAATTCTCATGTATTTTTGAGGCTACATATTTGAATTCCAACTAGAATTCAATTTATTCAGTCCGTACAAAATTAAATCAGATGGGTTACCCTCTGATTTGCTACAATTAAAAATTGAGTTAAAATGTTAATTCCAAAAATACCCACGGACAAAAACACAAACCCTACCTCAGTACCTCTCACCTGTTCCGGCCCCGACGGCCAACCCGCAATAACCCCAGCCACAACCCCCCCCCCCCCCCCCCCCAACAACACAAGATACCTTCTTCTTCTTCTTCTATTTCACAACTAGAAAATACCCACTGTAATTTTGAAAACAAGTACCTGGCTTTCTACTTTTAAATTAAAAAAATCACACAATTGTGATTTATGCTTGCGAAATCGTGAATTGATGGTCACTTTAATTATCTTGCTGGTTATGCTTGGATTTTTCTTATCAAAATTTGGTACGGTGCAAGTTGATCTCATGTCTTGTTAGTTGTGATTTTTAGTTTTCTATATGCTATTGGCTATGGAGTTTTTCAGGAACTTTTTGAATGAAAAAGGGAAGAAGAAAGGGACAAGAGTAATATAGGAAAGAAAAAGAATTGAATTTAGTTGAAATTAAGATTTCTGTTCCAAACACTTTAATTTGACCTATATCAATTTTCAATTTTTTTTTTTTTTAATTAAGTACTTTGTTAGATTTCGTCATATATACGCTGATATGGCCATTAATGATACGGGGTGTAAATCTCGTAATTTTGGATTTAATTATTTTTATTTCAATATTTATTTAATTGGTAAGATTTCCTATAATTTGTTACCTTTTATTTAATTAAGCAAGTGTTATTAGAAAAATGTTGCTTTAGGATTGTATTTTTATTTTATTTTTCCTATTTAGTATTATTAATGTTTTCTATTTTGTTTATTTAAATAGTCATAGCTAGTTAGATACTCGCGTTATGCTTCGGTCGGACAATCATTATATACGTAGGATCAACAATTCGTATACTACAATGCGAGTAGAAGTCTTGTTCTATTAATTAATATAAATTGAATCTATTTATTGAGCGAAATCATTTTATTTATATAAATTTATTAACAAAATAATCAATAATATTAACATAAAAAGTAGTGTTTTAATAACTAGGAGATTTTTTCAAAATATTATTTTAATTATTTTATTTTAAAAAATATTGATTTTAGAACATGAAAAAGAATAAAAATAAATAATTAGTGTTATATGTGCAATATGCGGTTAGCTTTCAACAATTAATTGGGAGGTTTATTTATGTGAAGTCAAAACTATTACAAAATTGATTTTAATAAATTTTGATCATTTATATAAAAAAATAAATAAAACCCGTGGATTTTATTTAAAAAATTAAGTCAAATTATCTAAAAAACACTTTTAATATATATATATATATATATATATATATATATATATATATATATATATATATATATATATATAGACACACACACACACACACACACATACTAATACGTTATTTTAATTTAAAAATCATAAAAATCCATCATTACTCGCGGATGGTGTGGTTGGAGTTATTGATGGTGTTATTACCAATTGTGTCGACTAAGTTGTTGTAGTTAGTAGTGTTGATGATTTTGTTGTGATTCATGGGGTTAACATGAGTATTGTTGAAGCCAATAAGAGTTACTTAAAGGCTTTCCAAGACAGAGAGATAAACAAAGAGTTTTCTCGCCATCAAGGCATGTGAGAACTTGCTCGTCAATATTGACAAACTCAAATAGCAAGGATATGATGCTCCTATTGAGACCAACCGGAATAGTTTTAGGGTTGTTACCATGAGAAGAGTAGGAGGAAGTTGTTGCTGCCAAGAGAGAAAGAAAGCTAGAGGATCAAGTCGGGGTTATTGACTTTGTCAAATCGAAGACCAAGGCCAACAATGATGGAAATGCAACCAATGTGAAGTCATGGATTGATTTCTCTAGATTTCAAAAAAAAAAAAAAAAAGCAACTTACAATGAGGGAGACTCGGTATGGGTGATTATCGGGAGAGAGCAAATAGCAACAAAAAGGTGTGTTAAACTCGACGACATCAAAGGACCATTTCGAGTTGCCAAAATGATGAGTGATCAAGCCTACAAGGTAGAACTACCCGGATATTACCTAGTATCGGCTACTTTCGGGGAGAAACACCTATCATCATACTTTGGAGAAGAAGATAAGGATCATGACTTCGAGGTCAACTCTTCTTCAATCTAAGGAGTATGATGCAAGAGCATCCACCCTTCCACTTGATTGAAAGTTTGGCACCATCAAGTGGCCAAAACTTCTAGGCCTCTATCTTTTATTTTTATGGTTTTTTAGTTATTTAAATTATCTTTTAATTATTTGAATTATGTTTTAATTAGTAGGTTAATTTTATTTGTAAAAACTTGGGTTGAAAATAATTAGTCTATATGATTAGGTGGGTTTCCTTGTTGGATAAGGATAAGGCTAAATATGACCTAAATGGATGGATAATCTTTTATATTATGGATCCTTATTTGTTAGGAATTCTTTTATTTATTTTAAGTTCATGTAATGTGGATCCAAATTTAATTAGATTAGATTAATAAAGTCCTTATTAAAGATGGAAGAAACAAGTTCAAGTCAAGAGAGGAAAGAAGTCCTAGTTAGGAAACAAAGTAAGATTTGGCCGAGGTAGAATTCATACCCTAGCTTACTTTTTAGAGCTTTTATACGTGAGTATTTAAACACACTTTTGTGCTACTTTCAAAGCTTTTTTTTTTTTTTAATGATATTTAAAATAAAATTTGAGAGTTTTTTCTCTGTATCTTTTCATATTTCTTTGCTTAGACCGACTAAGACTAAAGGTGTTTACTATTCGGCAAAAACCGAATAATCCAACCGAACAACACTCGAAATATTAATTTCGGTATGGTTTTTTTAGAAATAAAAAAAACTGAACCAAAATAATTTTGATTTTTGGGTTCGGATTCGATTTTTGTAAAAAAAAAAAATCGATTAAAACCAAAATTTTAATATATATATATATATATCTTTTTTTTAAAAGTCAAATCACTCACTCGAATCCATTATTCCCAAATTAAAAAAAAACTTTTCACCATATGCACTTCCTCTCACGAGCTTCGTACATGCTTTTTTTGTCTCTCGCTACAAGTTTAGATGTACACAAAATAGAAAAGGTATTGATAGATTTTCTATAATCTCAAATTCAAGCCTTCTTGAGTGGATAATTTATTATTTATTTATCTATCAATGTCTTTGCTATTTTTTTAGACACAAATTAGTTTCTTAACTAGTAGTTAATAAAGAAAAAAGAAACCAACTTTAAACGAGAGATCTCAAATACTTTAATAAAATCAGCCATCTATAGAAATAAAATAAAAACATAAAACGGATAAAATTGAAATAATGAATATCAAAACTGCAATATATTTCGAACCAAACCAAAAAAATAAAAAAAACATTTTGGTTTGATTTCGGTTATATTTTTTAAAATTTTGGTTAATCAAAGACCGTCCGAAATATTTTAAAATCGAATCGAATAACCGAACGAACATCCCTAACTAGGACGTTGTGACCACATTCTTAAAGTGATCGACTAAGATGAGCTTACATTAAAATTGCGTCAAGTGGACTCTTAACGTACGTATCCAACAAGTACTTTCTAAATCAACTTGAGTAGTAGATCTCTAGTTATAGTGATTCATTAAGACTTGCATTATCTTTATTGTTTTATTACTTGATAAATTGTGGACGGATTACAAGTTAAGGCTAAACAGGTTTTGATCTTCACAGTGAGAACCAAGGTTAGTGATTTTATTTGGATCTAACATTTTGACAATACCTAGTTAAGGGGTTGATTTAACTCCTACAAAAAATTCAAAAAAAAAAAAAAAAAATCTTTTTTTGTTTTGGTTTCATGGAACTTGGTGTAAATTCTAAAACATGTTTTGTCCAGGAAAAAATGACTCAATAGAAAAGAGGGTTAGGGAGCTTAGATTAAACTGAAATTTGGTATACAGGTTCTCCTAAGTAGTATCTAGGTTGTGTTAAAATTTTATGCTATTTTGATTTGATTTGAATAGTGAACGCACTTGATCTAATTTAGGATACCGTTATTGTGTGTTTGTTGATTGTGGATGCCGATTGAATTGTACGTTTGAGGAGCTTGTAAATTAATAATTGAATCTGATTTAGTTGTTATTTGAGATCTAATTGAGGTTTGTTTAAAGTTGTTTTATACTCTGATTTCAGCATAGGGCTATTCGAATGTTGCTTGAGTATTTTGCAGGCTTCCCGTATTAATCCGGCATCAGTCCATTTCTTGAAAGTAACATATTGGAGATGACAGTCCATAGCCTCTATCTAAAACTCTATCTGCGTTTCTTGCAGTGATCACAGGATTTGAAATCTTTGATTGGAAAACAATTTCATTAATTCCTTGCACTTCTACAAGGTTCCCACTTAAAACTTTCTGCACTCTTTCCCACCAGGGCTTACATGGATCTAAACCCAATAAAATCCGGTCAGTATCCCAAATTTCTCACAACAAGCTGATCTAGCATGCGGACAGAAAAACAGAACGTGCTCTACCGTCTACTGCTCAAAGCCGCACATAATATAAAAACCATTCATAATCATCCCCACACTTGAATGTTATGCTCAATAACAAATATTGAAGTAAAGATATCAGACTCAAATTATAATAGAAGTTTTACGAAATTGTATGTAGAATTCAATTTGGCGAACGACCGAAGCTTGTCTTTTTAGGATCCTTTTTTGAAGCTAGATTTTATGCCTTGCCTCCACTTAATTTGTTACAGTGTGTTCAAAATGAAAAATTTTATGTAACATCGATCGAGTATGACTACATATATGTACAACAAGTACTGGTAAGAAAGGAAATCACTAACTAGTCTAGCCTATCTTCCAAGGAAGGCATTGGAGATTGTGGCAAGAACCCGTCCAAGTAGTTGCGCAGTCAGCTCCAGTTTCATTACAACACTTGCAAACAACTCCCAGTGTCGAAAAAATCTTTGGATATTCTACAAATTACATGCTCATGGTAAGTAAGAGAACAATCAATAAACAAGAGGACAATCAATTAATCAAGAATCACCATCTCCATCTGAGAGAGATTTTAAGTGTAAACTGTGATAAATATATACTTACTTTGTTGAGGTAGAAATGGAAGTGTCCTTGCTTCTATAGTTATTTGTTTCTGGGATGCAGACGCAGTGACTATCAGCAGCAGCAGAAGCAGAGAAGGCTTAGGCATCCCCATGTTCGATCCTCCTTTAGCTTTCAACGAAACATGGGCTTATATATACATATATGAAGTTGAGAAGTTGAGCTATATTTTCCGACCTACAAAAGATAATAAAAAGGCAAGTGGATTTGCTTCAATTTGCAAGAAACATCTTCATGCCATATTATATAGACAAAAATATAACAATGATGGGTTAGTTTAATAGTTGTGGAAAAGTTTGAATCATTTCCAAAATTTTATCTAGAAGCTGGGCTGGCTCTTTCTGTTTGAATTTGTGTACATCAAATTTAAGTGGGCTTCTAGAGCAAACATAGGGATCGTGGCACACGTTTCCAAGTTGCTTACTTTTCCACACAACACTAGGGCAAACGAATTGGTTGGAAACTTCCTCTTTCACGTCATGGTTTAATTTGAAATTGACATATTGAATAGACCTACACGGTATCTATCTGGACTTAATTTGATAGCTTGTCTGTGATTCCTTTTTTATATGTCGATATCAGATCATACGGTGAAGTCGGCCTTTCCCGTCTAGAATCTCTGCACTGAGACCATTTTTCCATGTAGACTTTTGGGGCATGGAATTTGGATACATAAGATGCCTCACATGTATTGTATGGTAGCTAGGCTTTTTGTATGTGCCTTTCAACTGACCTCTCAAAAATGATTTTTCCTTGCATATAAACACTGTATTTCTCAATCATCCTTCGTATAATTTCACTTACTAGAAAGATTTTTGAAGAGTGGATGTGTGAACTCTAGAATTCTATGCATGTCTTAGTTAGTAGTATATAAGAAAAAAAACTATAGCAATTATATGAATTAAAGGTTAAGTATATTTCTTTACTATTTTAAATGTTTTAATCATATTTTTTTATTAAATTTTTTAATTATTGTGTTTTTTATTTTTAATTATGTCTATATTTAGTTATTTCGATTATTTTTTCAAGTAATGAAGACAAAAATAACTAAATAAAAAATATCAAAAATTGTATTCGTTATTCAAAAAAAATAATTGAAAGAATTAAATACAAATATCATTAAAAATATAATAATTAAAAACTTTAATAAAAATTATAATTAAAACATTTAAAACAATAGAAAGACATTTTCATGAACACAATCATTGATTTGAAACAGAAGCCCACAGAATTGGTATCCTATGTCAAACTCTGAGACAACAAAAGATGGGAAAAGATTAAGAAATTGCTTAAGAATCATAATAGAAGCTGCATTGAAAATACGAAGAGAGAACGAAAGCGCCCAATCCAATCGTTACCATCACTTTTTCGTTTTTTTCCTAAACGAACGACTTAAAAGATGATCTATAAAATTTATTAGAGAAAAATGTCAAGATTTTAGACGTGGGCGGCAGGATTCGAACCTGCGCGGGCAAAGCCCACATGATTTCTAGTCATGCCCGATAACCACTCCGGCACGCCCACTGCTGGGAACCATTACGTTATTTATTATAAATAACTTTAATACTTATACCAGACCCACTATATTGTTTGTCACGTTCCCGGTACAAGAATGCATGCCTAAAATCGACAAGACTACATGACGATTCACGAGGTCTCTTTCTTTAATTGTTCCCAAAACATAAATTACTTGCTTAAATTATGTATCCTATGAGAAAAATAATAAAATTTAAAATGTTTTTGCATGTAATTCCGAGATGAATTTGGAGAATTTTCTAATGGGCTCATCTAGGTTCTACAATGTGGAAAGCGAGGATATGTGATCCTAAAACTAATATTCGAATGAATGATTTTTTTTTTTAGAAAAAAAAAGACATGTGAAGTATTAATTGTTTATTTCGTTACTTTATTTTTGACATTTTTTTTTCATCGTGGTATCTCTACTTTTTTTTTTTATCACATTCTTTTACTCTACATTTTTCTTAATGTGTTTTTTTATAAGATTTAATTCAATTTTAACAAATGTATTGTCACATCAGAAAAATTTAACACCTGATGAAAAAAAATAATTCAAAAATACCTAATAAATTAAAGAAAAAAAAGCATTAAAAAAATATTCTTTTTTTTAGTCACATGTCAATTTCATATGACATGTTATTTCACGTGATACTTTGATCTGACGTGAAATGTCACTTTTCATTAGTTATTGAAAAATTAAACAAAATCTTATAAAAAAGGCTATATTAAAAAAACTATTCAAAATAAAGAGAGGTATATTTTTTTTTCAGTCACAGGTGAATCATCCAAAATCCCTTGCTTTGCTTTAATAGCATAATTTTTCATCCAAATAATTTATCCATCTCATGCCATTGCCTTCTCAAAAATTATCTCTAATTGCCTGCTAACAGAAATATATTGACCAAGGTGAGTCTTATACAATCATTCTCATTTCTGTCTACAAATTCCAGTACAGAGAGCAACTGTCTGAGAATAAAAAAGCTGACCATCCCACAAAAATGTTTGACGTCACCGACTTCACTATCAGCATAGAAATTTATTTAAGGAGAAATCATTTGTTATATTACCATTTTTTCCCCCTCTTTGAGTAAAAGAAAATATCAATTTCGTAGATCGTATACATTCAGAGACATTATAACTTACTATTTGAAAAAAAAAAAATCAACAACGCCAATAATATAAAATTATTTTCTGAGCAACAACTATTCATGTCGATGATTTGAAATTCTCAAATTTGAAATGTTTGTGTAGAAACTGATTGCATCTCACGTATATAAATGAGTTTGAGTCACTTTTAGACCAATGAAGGAAACATGTCGTGCTACTAGGTTTTGTTTATAGAAATCCATAATTGCTAATCAGTATTAATTTCTTGTATCAAATTACAAACAACTACGAAACTTTATTCAAAATAAAAATAACAACAACGAATGAAGAAAATAAATAATCGAAATACAATGACATAAATCTAACCAAATACAATATATAGATCTACAGACATAAAATTAAAAAAAAAAATAGATAATTTGAAACTATTAAAAAAAAAAAACAAGTTATCACCATGAGAATCATATCGACTACTTAAAAAAATTAGATTTTTTTTTTAAGGAAAAGATTCACTATATACGATAGTTGAATAGATATAACGTCATTTTATATCTAATTGATAATAAAAAAAAAACAAAAAAGAAGAAGAAGATATTTTGTTGTTTCTTTAGCCTTTGACTTATATATATATATATATATATATATATAAACAAAATTTATCAAAATTGATTTTATTTCTTTTTAACCTTGAACTATGGTAGGCTAGAAAAACTAAAACAAAAGTTTCTACGCTGCAAGGCACGGACCATTGCTAGAATAAGTCTATTTGGCGCTGTATTACTTTCCAAGCACAACAACTTTAGCCTGTTTTCTATTCAAAAGCGGTACCTTATTAAGATCATTTTTACTTTAGAAGCAAACTACAAAATCCCTTGCTTTGAGCCCCAAACAAAGCAACTTGTTATAGAATTAGAAGGGGAAACTGCAAAATATTACTTCATAGCTTTGCTTATTTGTGTTTCAGTGACTGAATTGCTTTCCTCCATTAGCTTTAGTCATTTTAATTCTAGTTAAAACTACTAGTATAGGCCTTAAAATTTCTAACTTTGTGTAATTATGTTTTAATCCTTTACTTTTAAATCAACTGTATATAACATCTCTTAATTGTCTAAAAAATACCTATTCTGCATGGAACCTGCCCCAATATTAATACATTTTCATGATACAATTATCTATGTGTATAATAAAAAACAGAGACAAAACAAGAAACTGGTAATTGTCTTTTTATGCATTGAATGTTGTTGATAATTCAAAAGGTTTAAGAACAAAAAATACATATTCACAAATTTAAACCCACGGTGAATAAAAACAAAACCAATTGTTAGAAATTAAGAGACATGGTCAACTAGAAAACTTAAAAAGCTGGAGAACTTATTTTCGAGAACTGGCATCGTTTCACAAGGAAACGACAAAGCGCTGAAGTGCTATACTTCAGAACTTTACCTCTTTAATAAACATTGTTTTACATGTGATGTTTGTATTAGGACTTGGTTATGCTTAGGACTCTATTACGAAGAGTTTGAGTAGGATTAATGTTTATATTGGATAAAGATTAGTAGATTACATGTCTTAGTTTATTTCCTTTATGTCGTCTGTTGGAAGGCTATAAATAGCCATGCTTCTGTTTATGCTAATTGATATACAGACTCTTACAAGCTTCTTGCGTTTTTCTCTTGAATATAACAATTAGTATCATAGCCTATTAAAGAGATATGTCATCAAAAAGTTCCTTCGTTCAACCTGCAGTCCAAAGTTTGATGGGCACTATGATCATTGGGCTATGCTCATGGAGAACTTCTTACGGTCAAAGAAGTACTAGAGCTTGGTGGAGAATGGAATCTCTGAAGTAGCAGAGAATGGCACTCCTACAGGTACATAAAAGGGAAGCATTGAAGAACAAAAATTGAAAGAATCTGTAGCAACAGAAGGTAGCACCTCTGCAGATACACAGAAGAAAAATATTGAAGAACAGAAGCTGAAGGACGTAAGAGCAAAGAATTACTTGTTGCAAGCTCTAGATCACACCATCCTTGAAACAATCCTTAACAAGGATACAGCAAAAGCCATATGGGATTCCATGAAACAAAAATATCAAGGTACAACACAAGTTAGGAGAGCACAATTACAAACTCTTCGTAAGGAGTTTGAAACACTTCACATGAAGGTAGGAGAGTCCGTGAATGAATACTTTGCTCGAAAACTCACCATTGCTAATAAGATGAAAGCCAATGGTGAGGATAAGGGAAACACTGCTATAGTTGAGAAAATCTTACGATCAATGACTCCTAAATTTAACTGTGTTGTGTGTTCCATTGAGGAATCAAACGACACAAGCACAATGACCATTGATGAGTTGTAGAGTAGTCTATTGGTGCATAAACAACGTATGAGCTCCTACATTGAGGAGGAACAGGTGTTGAAGACAGCTTATGGAAATCATCTCATGGGAAGAGGTCGCAGCCGTGGAAACTTTCGAGGAAAAACAATGGGAAGAAGGCAAGGCTCTAGCAAGGCCAAAGTAGAATGTTATAACTGTCACAAGCTTAGACATCTTCAATGGGAATGTCCAGACTGAGAGAAAGAGACAAACTACACAGAAGGTCAAGAAGAGATACTACTGATGGCATATGTGGATAAGGAGGTGAAAATTGAACAGGATATTTGGTGTCTTGATTCAGGTTGCAATAACCACATGTGTGGAAGAAGGGAATATTTCTTAGACCTTGATGAGAAATATAAAGACTCTATAAGAATGGGAAACAACTCAAGAATGGCAATATTAGGTAAAGGAAATATAAGATTGAAGATGAATGGCACAGTACAAATCATCGCAGAAGTGTTCTATGTGCCTGAGTTGAAGAACAATCTGCTAAGCATTGGGCAGTTTCAAGAAAAAGGTCTTGATATCTTATTCCAACAAGATACATGCAAAGTGTTTCATCCTGAGAGAGGCTTAATCATGGATACAAAAATGACCTCAAATTGAATGTATATAATGCATGTATCCTCACAGCCTATGACATCCGAAAGCTTCAACACAACCAATGAAGATAAAGTGCAGCTTTGGCATTGTAGGTATGGAAACTTGAGCCTCGAAGGATTAAAGATGCTTTAAGAAAAAAAAATGATGACTGGGTTACCACCTTTTCAGACCTCTTTGAAATTATGCAAAGATTGTCTGATAGGGAAGCATAAAAGAAACTCATTCCCAAAGCAAAACAAATGAAGAGCATCACACATTCTCCAACTGATGCACTCTGACATATGTGGACCAATTAGTCTCACTTCTAATAGCAACAAGAAGTATATCATGACTTTCATTGATGATTTTAGTAGAAAAACGTGAGCATACTTCTTGATCAAAAAGTCAAAAGCCTTTGAGATGTTTAAAAGATTCAAAATACATGTTGAGAAGGAAACAAATTCATCCATCAAAAGCCTATGTACTGACAGAGGAGGAGAGTTTAATTCATTAGAATTCATCAACTTCTGTAATGAAAATGGAATACACAAGCAACTGACAGCTGCATACATATCTTAACAAAATGGTGTTGCTAAGAGGAAGAATAGAACTATTATGAATATGGTTCGAAGCATACTTTCTGAAAAATAAGTCTCTAAGTCCTTTTGGCCTGAAGCTGTCAATTGGACAATATATGTGTTGAATCGTAGCCCCACCTCAACAGTAAATAATAAAACACCAGAAGAAACTTAAAGTGGAATCAAACCTTCAGTAGAGCATTTCAGAGTTTTTAGCTGTATCGTCCATGTCCACATCCCTAATAGTACAAGAACTAAGTTAGATAATAAGAGCATGTGTTGCATTCTCTTGCGAGTAAGTGGCAGAACTAAAACATATAGACTCTATGATCTAGTTACAAGAAGAATCATAGTAAGTAGGGATGTCGTCTTTGAAGAAGATAAAAGCTGGGATTGGAATAGAAAGTCTAAACAAATCATTGAATGCATATCTGACCAAGAAAAAAAATAGCTGTGATGAATGGTGATCATGCTGAAAACAAGTCTGATCATGATCCTGAGGAAGAAAAACACTCTACAAATAGATCGCAGGTAGAAGAAGACTCATCTGACTCTATTCAAATAAGGAACAGACAACCACCTGTTTGGATGAAGGACTATGACTCAGGAGAAGGACTTTCTGATTCAAGAGAAGAAGATAATCATAATGCTCATTTATCCATGTTTACAACTAGAGACCCTATTTACTTTGATGAAGCTGTAAAAAGTGAGAAATGAAGGAAAGCTATGGATGTGGAAATAGAAGCTATAGAAAGAAATAGAACATGGGAACTGACAGAATTACCTAAAGGAGGAAGAAAGGTTGGGGTAAAGTGGGTCTACAAAACTAAATTCAATGAAAAATGAGAAGTGGACAAGTATAAAGCAATGCTTGTGGTGAAGGGATATTCTCAACAGTATGGTATTGATTATACTGAGGTTTTTGCACTAGTAGCACGCATGGAAACAATTCAGTTGATAATAGCACTTGCAGCCCAAAAGGGATGGATCATCTATCAATTAGATGTCAAATCTGCCTTTCTATATGGTGAGTTAAAGGAGGAAGTGTTTATAGAGCAACCTTGTGGTTACATTCAGAAAGGACATGAACAAAAGGTGTATAGATTGAAGAAAGCACTTTATGGGCTCAAGCAAGAACCAAGAGCATGGTACAGCCTCATAGAGACTTATTTTTTACGGAATGGATTTGAAAAATGTGACCATGAGCATACATTATTCATCAAAACAAGAGAAGGAGGTAAATTACTAATAATAAGCTTGTATGTTGATGATCTTGTTTTTACTGATAAGATGAAATAATATTGTCAAAATTCAAAGAATCTATGAAACTTGAATTCAAAATGACCAATATTGGGAAGATGAGATATTTTCTTGGACTGGAAGTGTTACAAAGAATAGATGGAGTCTTCATCAGTCAAAGAAAGTATGTCTTAGATGTGTTAGTTAGGTTTGGCATGGACAAAAGCAATTCTGTCCATAATCCTACAAGGCCTGACTTGATGTATATAGTAGGACTAGTTAGCAGATACATTGAGAATCCTATAGAAATTCATCTGCAGGTGGTGAAAAGAATGCTAAGATATTTGAAGGGGACAACTAAGCTTGGGATTTTCTATAGGAAGGGAGGAGATAGGAAACTCACTGCATACACTGATAGTGATTATGCTAGGGATATGGAAGATAGAAAAAGCACCTCAGGTTATGTGTTTCTGCTGGGTTCAGGGGCTGTATCATAGTCATCAAAGAAGCAACCAGTGGTGAGCCTATCTACTACAGAGGCAGAGTTCATTGCTGCTGCAATGTGTGTATGTCAGGAAGTCTGGATAAGAAGAGTAATGGAGAAACTGAATCAAGACCAAGATAAGCCAACCTTGGTTCATTGTAACAGCAACTCTGCAATCAAACTGTCAAAAAATCCAGTAATGCATGGGCAAAGTAAGCATATTGATGTTCGCTTTCATTTCCTAAGGGAGTTAACAAAGGCCGGTGTTGTGGAATTGATGCATTGCAGAACACATGAGCAAGTAGCAGACATACTGACCAAGCCTCTCAAGCTGGAGGTGTTTTTGAAGCTACAGAAGATGTTAGGAATGTGCATTGAAGCTGACATAAACTGAAAATATATTAAGTTCAGTTTAAGGGAGGAATTATTAGGACTTGATTATGCTTAGGACTCTGTTATAGAAAGTTTTGAGTAGGATTAATGTTTGTATTGGATAAACATTAATAGATTATGTATCTTAGTTTATTTTCTTTATGTTGTCCGTTGTAAGGCTATAAATAGTCATACTTCTATTTATGCTAATTGATATATAAACTCTTACAAGCTCTCTGCGTTTTTCTCTTGAATATAACAGTTTGCGCCCCCACAATCTGTACAACAAAATATTAACACAGCAACCTAAAAGCTTACAATCAAGTGCTAAAGGTTCTTGAAAAGTCAAGAAAAATGAAGCAGGAATAGAAGCCTCAAATTACATGGACTTATTTACTAAAAAGAGATTGCACGAACACCCAGTGCGGAAGATTCGCATTCATAACTACTGATAATTAAATTGTAGTCCGATCCATATCAGACCATTTAAACACAAATTTGCATCAGTCTAACATGTTAGATTATACTACACAAAGCACAGGTGTTTAGAACAAAGAATGGTAGATACTCTGGCTGATTTCATGGCGAAGTTATAGCAATACTGACTAAAAGAGAATAATAAAAATTTTATAAAAAAAATCAGCAAAAAGAGTATACATGCCAAAATCCCACTTGATAATATACAAAATGTCATTTGATCCATATATAGAAACAGAAAAGTTGGAATGAAATCATATCCACAGGGAACATAACTTACAATTTTTTGCAGGATTTTTCACATCTACCCAGGACCAAAAAAGAAAGGGATAGTAGAGATAAAAACATGCAGCCTAGAAATGCCTAGATGAAATCGGGATCCCTCCCCATCGGCTCGAGGTCAGGATGAGTATTGCTCCCAGGCCTTCGTGGGAATCTGCAAGACCCAAAGCAGAAAAATTGGATGCTTGAAGCCAGTGCCTTCATGAACCATACATTGCAGATGCATAAGCGCACAGAATCTATTTCTAGGCACGGGAAACCAAAAACTTGGGCCAACCAAATTGAAGGCTAGAAAGATTTAGAATATATGTAATTTGAGTATGATTATAAGATCATACAAGATTTTGTGCAACTTACAGAACACATTTTGAGAAAACGTGTAGAAATAGGACATCAATACATGATAAAGCAACTAATTTCTCTTTATTCTTTATTATCTATATTTATTTGTAATTATCACCAAATCAAATGAAATGTGACGAAAATCTCAAGATCACTGACAGTGAAAAAAACCAAACAAAATCAACTCTTAGAAATCATCAAATCCTACAAATGATGGTTCAGATTAAAATTATAGCATCATATACAATGGCAGTACTTTGGGAAACTTAAACCACAATTTTGAGACAAAAATTCAAAATGAAAGCTGAATTGTAATTCAGGAACTGAGAGATTAACATCATTTTTGCAAGGAAAAGTTTCAAAAGATGATGTTGGTAGCATATGACAGCTTACCAAGACAGCAGCATAACATTATATTCGCTTGTCAAGATCACCACCAGGTAAGGACCTTTTATGTTATCCAAACAAAAACCAACTTAAAAAAAAAATTGCCTTGGGCTATATGAAACTTCATTTACTGAGAGGCAGTGTTTAGAAAAGGAAAAGCACTACGGCTCCAACTTCCAATATAGAAACTCTACTATTTTGGTCTGTCGCAAACACATTTTGAGAAAACTACTTGTTGTTCAGAACCAAACAAAACTGGAATTCATTTACTCAAAAACCACATTTAACCACATTAGTTAAAAAAAGCCAAATTAACCCAAGTGTCTTGATTCACTGCAGTAATTCAGTTTAAATCAAATAATGTTGCTGCCTATTTTGTTATTCCTAGCAAAGATTAAAAAAGTAATCCCCAATGGACTTTGGCAAGTGTTAAAAAAATCACTATACCTGGTAAATCGGTTAGGCTCAAAACCAGGTACCCCAGGAGGCCCAAAGGGATCAAAACGAGCACCTGGAGGAATGTTCCTGCATTCATGAATTCACACACTATTAGTTTCGTTAGCAATAACAATATTATAGCACAGAGAGAGAGAGAGAGAGAGGATCTCACGGTTGTCCTCCAGGGAAACCAGGGTCACCACCAAATAAACCAGACCAGCTAGGATCATCGGGCCCTGCATGCACATGGTAAAAATAAGCAATGCCAAAATATAAGGAAACAAGCCTATTTTATTTCTTCATTAACTGCCATTCAAAAGTACAAACCTATAAGCATGCCCCCACCTCTCCTAGGCCTGAAAGACAGTTCAACAAAATACATATTTAAAATTGAGAACTAGATTGGTGCAAGAAAATACCAATTAGTAAAGACTAAAAATTGATTTAGGATGTATACCCTGTCGGATACATTCCAGCTCCAGGCCCAGGATAAAGATCACTCATTGGATTACCAGGAACTGGGGGAACTACAAATCTGAAAAGCAAGTCAGAACACAGAAAGTGAGCCCTCGTCATCTCAAGGAACTAACTGAGACTGACTAAGTTCCAGCAGAAAACTAGAGCAGACCAGCAGCTAAAAAATAAAAAGCTCATCCAAGACCCTTGAAAGATGAACATAGATTCTTGTACTAATTGCAAGCTGAAGAATCATACACAGCGACAATAAAAACTAGCTTTGTATTGAATCCAGATACAACAAAAACAAAGCAATCAGTCTTCAATATAGATAACAATTGAAATTTGTCATGCATTATGTGGCATTCACTTTGGTCCTTGAAAAATAAGAATTAATCTATTCAAATATTGCATGAGCAAATTAAAATCTAATTAAGCAAGCTCCCTAACATAGGACAGAGTAGGAACGCTGATCATAGATTGAATAATTCCCAATAGGAGAGGAATAAACTAAACAAGATGAAGAAAACCCTATAGAAGAGGGTGAATTCCTATAGAAGTTGAAGATTATGAAAGACAACCCTATAGTAGAGGGTTAGAAAAAAAGAAGAAACAAATTTTGAAAATATCAATCTTAATTCATCATAAAATTTCTGCTCTAAAACACACAGAAAATATGTTTTCATACAGGCACCAAGAAACCCTAGTAATCTATACCAGATAAGAAACAAGAAAATCCTAGTAAAATATCATCTTTTGATAACAACAACAACAACAATAATAATGCTATAAAGCTTTCCAAATAATTATGAAAGTTTGAATTTACTAAATTACAAATATATAAATAAAATTATTGTTATTATACTCCATTCCCTCTGTTGAAAGTCAAATTGGGCAAGAAAAAAATAAAAATGGGAAAGAGACTATCACTACCCAAATCAATAAAAGGTACTCCATTAGATGCTATGGATAGTGATGTATTGATAAGCATGATTGACTTCATGATTGTTATGCTTTCTTCTGAAAAATGGCTGGTGTTGTGAACTTGGTAACATTGGTCACTAAAGCAAGCACTCAAGATAGGCCTTGACTGTGATGACCTAATCCTATAAGGTATAAATTCAATTTGAATTGAGAATGCATAGATGAGTTAAGGGCTCGGTCCCAACCATACCCACCAGAAGTGTTTGGTAACAAGAAACGTGCACTTTTTTATGGCGCTTTTGAAAGGGAATAACAGTTACAAATAGTATTTTGGAAAAATAATCAATCATGCTTCTTGTGGTTTTAGATAACATAAAGAAGAATTCTAGGACACACTTATGGACCAAGCTATTTAACATCTCTGTCAGTCTACACTGAAGCGAGACATGGAGCTAAAAAGAAGGCCTATTTTATGTTCCCTATAATTTTATAAGTGAAATAATTAACTCAATGCATTATAATAAGTGTTTCTAAGTATTCCAGCCACACATGGATCTAACTTGAATTTCATTAAGTTGACCTTAATTCCCAAAAATGGCTTCAAAAACCTCCTGTTAAAAAACTTGTTAAATTTCAAAAGGTTAATAGAGAAAATTAAAAGCTAAGGTGGGTGAAATTGACCCAAAACCATTGGGAAATATACCATAAAGCATCAACTTTAATGACAAGGTTTCTAATGAAAGCGAGGAGATTAATCGAATAATCCAGCAATTGCATTATATCCTAACAAATATATATATGCTATAAGAAAAATTGGAGTTTGTATGGACAGCAGTAATCTATGGGCTTCAGCCAAAAGTTTCTCATACAAGTGAGGAAACTAATTGAATGAACCAATAATTGCATTATATCATAGTAAATGAAAGTTGCAAGAAATCATGTACATATTTCGATATGGATAACACTTCCCATGGGAAGGAAAATATCACAGATGCAATAAGACAGTAACCCAGTACAAAAAAGGTACTATAATCAAAAGAATTACATACCCTGAAGGAGGAATTTGGGGGCTGGTAGGTTCATAGAATCCAACACCAGGTTCATTATTCTGCCTCAATGCATATCTTGATTCTAGACTACAAAACACAAAAAATCAATCCATAAAAGGCAAATCAATAGATGACTACCCATATGCAGAATTTTATCATAAAGGTGCTCTATAATATGAGATAATCACTAAGAAATCGAGCTGATGCAGTCAAAGTAAATCCGTTTAAATGCTCAGATTACAAGCAATAAATTAAAACTTCTGCAGTAGACCATTTGGAATTCCAGCAAACAAAACTAAAGGACAAGAGCGTGGCATATAAAGGGTATCAACTTATTATTTGCAAAGTGTAGAATAAATAATAAATTCAAGACTTTGCACCTTGTGTAAATACCAACAAATCTTTCTATTTTCTACTGATAACAAGAGTCTGTGCGGATGATAAAAATTTCCATATAACAAGCAAATAACTCAATATGTCCCTATATAATAGTCTTAGTCTCTAATTTGCCCCTATGCATCTAATTGCATCCATTATATTCCTAAATAATGTTTAAATCTCTAATTTGTCATTCTGATCAACTTTCCAGACTACATACAAATTTTTTGACTGAAATGCAAAAAGAAAAAAAGAAAAAAACAAACAAACAAACTTAAAGTGACATGCTCACTTTAAGTTTGTTTGTTTGTTTTTTTTTTTTTTTTGGTATTTCGGTTAGGAGTATTTTGGTATAAAAAAATTGCTCATAGTTGGAAAAATTGATCGAAAGGACAGATTTGAGACTTAAACATTATTTAGGAACGTAATATATGCAATTAGAAACGTAGAGACAGATCGAAAACTGAGGATAGATTGGGCTATTTACCCCATATAGCCTTGGACATAGATGACAACTTATGATCAATAGCTTCACAGCTTGAATACAAAAAATAGAAAATAAAATTTAATGTGATGATGGAAAAACAAACACCTCCTTTTTTGGGCCTACAACTACAAAATTGCTAGCCCTTACTCAAATTGTTTTCAAATAAACGAGTTAGAGGGAACTTAAATCTCTCTTCTAGATTCTTTTCCTCCTCCTTGTCAAATGGAATAAAGGGTAAGCAGTCAAATTAAAGCAACAGCAACAAGTAATAGTTAGTTGAATGCAACCAATTGCACAAATATAAATCCTTAGACAGTATAAGAAAGCTCAATTACCAGCTGTTACTTGACAAACTAGCTTTTGAAGAAGTAGAAGGACCATCCAATTTAGACAAAATCTCTTCGTCCATTTTCTTAACAAGCTTGTCCAAATTCTTATATTGCTCCGAGTAATTAGTAGCTCCATTCTCCCCAACATAATCCCCAACACTGCAACAAATCATCAAATTCATAAACCCCTTAATTCAAACCCTAAGCCTAGAATACCAAAATTGCATAATTTTATTCTAATAAAAACAAAACCTACTCGATTTCCAGATTGACCGGCTCTGAAACCCCATCAGTAATGGCACTAACCGCCAATTTCCCATTCATAACCAAACACTTCAGTACCACCCTCTTTCCTCCTTTATCAGGGTTTAAAAACACGAATGCGTACTCTCCATCTACCTCATTCCAATTTTCAGTCCCTACCTCGTCTATAACAGAGAGACAAAAATCAATTAAACAGAGATTTTTTTTTCGTTCAATTAACTGCAAATAAAGAAGAAAATAAAATTGAAAGATTACTAGTTGACGGAGCGGAGAGGGCGGCAGACTCGGAGAAGGCGGCAGGACCAGTGGCGGTGAGAGCGTAGCCGTTGGCGAGGAAAAAAGCGTGAACAGCGAAAGCGATCTTGTCGTGGCTGTTTTTAAAGGAAGGTCTCGCTGCTCTAATCACAGCCATCACCGATTTCTCGTTCGCCATTGATGCTTTTGCTATTAAGGATTATTATATTTTTTGGGTGATTATAAGACTGGAAGACCAAAGGACCAACGGATTTGTCTTCTGTTTAGAGAGAGCGTCAGAGCGAGGGTTTTCGAGGTATATTGAGAGGTTTCTCGATTATATACTGTGCGATTGGCGCGTCAAGTTGGCTTTAAGGACAAGCCAATTCTTCTTCTTCAAGAAGTAGTACGAATCAGTCCTCGAACCATGTTTTTGGTTTCAATTGAGGACAAGCCAACTCTTCTCCAAGAAGTAGCGTCCCTCCGCGCCACTCAAATGTCTTTCTGAGGAGGACAATTGTACTCGTCTCTATGGAGGTCTGTTTTTATTTATCTAAATGGACGGATTTCGAACTTCAGAGAGTTGGACGTAGAGATGGGTAAAAATATCCAGACTTATTATATTTACATGTTTTCAATATATATCTAAAATAACTTACTATATTATACTCAAATTTATATATGTAAATAATTTATTATATTTATAATGTTTTTAATATATCTAAAATAATTTGTGTTTTTTTTTTTTGTTAAAATTACATTGATAAACTTTGTTAGATAAATGTAAAATAATTTATTTTTTTCATGAAAAATCTGTTTTACTTAATGAAAATTATCATTAAAAAAAATCATATAGACCGCCATTTAAGGTATACCTGTATATGTAGAGGATTGTAACTTTATTTCAATAAAAATGAAAGCGAATATAGGGATAAAGAAATTAGGAAGCCTCTGTAGAAATGAATGATTCACTTGTACAAACCTTCATTGCAGTGGTGGATCGAAAAACTTTTCAAAGAGGGGTCCACATAGTATATTACAATGGTCATCGACGAGCTTTCATATCTTAAAAATAACAAATAAATATATAGTTTCCAATATTATAATATACATATTTTTTAATATATTACTATTACAATTGTTTTCGACGAGTTTTTATATTTTGAAAATAACACATAATAATATCATTATTAACATTATCGGATGCATCTTTTTCAATGTATGTTACTAAACAATCATTTAACCATTGGTCACTAATTTTATTCCGCAAATCACTTTTGATCGATTTCATTGTGAAAATGCTCACTCCACGGTTGTCGTTGCTACGAGTAGAATCAATGTCAACTTCAAAAGTAAATACACCAATGGATAAATATTATTTTTTTCATCTCTCGCCATTTTCCTTGAAAGATCTCTTATCCCTTTCAAATTAGCAAACCTTTCATCTCCAAGCACGTCCATTAAATAATTCCCAAGTTGATTTCTAAGTGCTAGAAGCTCAACAATGAGAAAATTCACATGGATAAAACTCGGTCATCTTCAATAACTTTTCCTTATCAAATGCATTAAAAGAATTAGCTAGGCTTAAGCAATCAACACAAAGAAGTAATTCGGTGTTCACTTCATTAAAACGACTATTAAGCTCCCGAAGTTACATATCTATGATAGCATAGAATAAATCAACTTCATAATAGTGTAAATTGCTAACCTGCGAAGCCTTGCGATGCTTTCTTCGAGCATATGCATCTTCCATGTTTGGAATTTGAATACCATGCTTGTTGCAAAAGAAAGAAACATCATTGAAAAGATCTTTCCATCCATCATCTCTTGTTTGTTGCAATCTTTTCTTGACAACTTTAACAAGTGAAATAGCATTCATAATGTCTTGATCCTCTTTTTGCAATGTCAAATTTGACTCAATTGTAATACCTAAAATAGTCACCATCAAATGCATAAAAAAGATAAAATCAAATGACTTTAACAACTTTGAAAGACAACATGCTTCTACTCTTTGATTTTGACATATGTCATCACTTTCAATGTCTTCAAGCACTTAAATAATTGAATTGAATATAGTCATCACATTCAAGAGTGATCCATAGTGAGATCCCCAATGAGTACCACCAGACTCTTCTAATGCCCATTTCTTGGTTCAATCCTCGACCACTTTGAAGCTTTTCATTAAGTAATGCTTCAACTATATTTTTTGCATGTTTCTCTCTAAGCTTATCTTGACATTTGCAAAAAGCTCCAATCGTATTGATCAAGCGAGCAATTAACTCAAAGAAATCACTAATGGCAAAATGATTCTTTGAAACAAACACAAGTGTCAATTGTAATTGATGTGCAAAACAATGAATGTAATATGTTGATATAGTTTCTTTCATAACCAAAGCTTTCAAGCCATTGAACTCACTTTTCATATTACTCACTCCATCATAACCTTGTCCTTGAATTCTTGATAGACTTAATCCATGCATTGAAAGCATAAAATGAAGTGCGGCTTTAAGTGATGTGGGTCGAAGTATCGGTATCATGTGCAATGCCAATAAATCTCTTCATTACAAATCCTATTCTATCCACATATCGTAAAACCAAAGCCATTTGCTCTTTACATGATGCATCATGACATTCATCAACTAAAATTTCAAAAAAATCATCCTCGAGGTCTTCAATTATTGCCTTGGTAGTTTGTTTTGCAATAGCATGCATAATGTCTTTTTGGATTAAAGGAGCAATTATCCGTTGATTTCCGGGAGCATTATGGAATACAACACTATCCACTTTTTTGTTACGTTAGGCATAAAAATGTAGAAGTTCAAGAAAATTTCCTCTATTACTTGAACCTTCATATTCATCATGACCACGAAAACGCAATCCTCGTCTCAAAAGGAATCTTACATAACCAACGGATGCATTTAATCGAGTTTTATACTCGGTCTTGATCGTGGGTAGCAAGTTTGTTTGCTTATTTAAAGCAAAATGGATAGATTGAGATTGTTTCATCAAATCTTGACATTTTTGAACCATCATACTATGTGCACTTCCAACATCATGAACATCTAGTCGTGATTTTTTGTTCCAAGCCTTAAATCCTTCACTCATAAAAGAATCAACACCACTTTGATTTTTAATTTCGAGTTTAAACAAATAACAACATAAGCAAAATGCCACTTCCTCTTTTATACTATATTCCAAACAATATTTATATTCAGCAAACCAAGTAGGATTAAATTGACATAATCTACCTCCAATATCTCTTGGTTGAAAATCATGAGAATGAGGTTGAGAAAGGCCTTTTTGAAGGTATGCTCTTCTAACTTCATCGCGATCATTAGGATGGTAACTTTCAATTCTTGGTCGTTCTCCAGGATCGATTGGAAGAGAATTTAAATCAACTCTTGTTCGCTCTTTTTCAATTGCGAGCACTTGTTTGTTTTTTAATATTCCTCAACATAACTCACTAATAAAAAAGAAAGAGATAATAAAAAATTAGAATTTTTAAAATAATATGAACAAAGGGTCATTAATTTATCGAATTTCTTTCACTTTTTTACATCTAATTTGATACGTGGATGTCATAAAAAGAAAGATTAAATCAACTAGATTTACTAGAATACTTAAACATTAAATAGAGATTATAGGTTTGGATCATTTGGTATTATTAACAAAGAGAAATATAATTCTTAATTCTTAAACCCTAAATAATTCAATAATCTACAATAAAAAGAATTAAATCATGATAATTATTCATAAACAAATAAAATTATTTATTTCAATCAAGAATCTCAAATGCATAATTGAATTTAACTAAAAAAACAAAAAAAAATTAAGAAGTATCGAAAATAAACCTAAGCTATGAAATTCTCACCAACTTAATAGGAGAGGTTTTTTTTTTTACCTTTTGATTTGGTAAAGAAGATGGAATAGGGTAGAGGAAGATGAAAGAACGATGGAGAACTGGCCAATTAAGAGAGAACGTGAGAAGTTGAATTATTCGGAAAGTGAAAAGTTGAATTGTTGAGAAATAGGCTGAAATGTGGAGGGTTGGTGGGGTTCGAGAGGTGTTAAAAGCTTCTAAGAGTGAGAGGGAATAGAAAATAAGTATTGTAGTGGTTTAATTAATGGGCTAAACAATGGGTATTTTTTGGGTAATGGGCTTAAGCTAAACAATTGGTATTTCTATAAGTAATGGGCTTAGGCTAAACAATGGGTTTTTTTTTTTTTTTTTTGATAATAGGCTAATGTGTATTGTTTTTGGGTAATAGACTAAGTAGTAAATGGATTGATAGGTAGTTTTTTTTTTTATTTGAATACTACATGGTATTTTTTATTTTTCATTGACAAAGTGTGGTCCATGAACTACTTTGTTATGAATAAATCCCCCCGCTTCATTGTCTTTTTCTCACCCCATTTCTTTCATTAGGTTATGATGAGACCTTTACGAGAGGTGAATCATTCGCTTTTTCTTACTCTATTTCTTCCATTGAGAACGATTAAGACATCAAATGTTTTAAAGCTAAAATTTTTTTATTTGCTTTTAATGCGCTAGTGTTAGATGGGTGTTCAAGAGTAGATGAGATTTATATTTAGGTAATGTTTTTTAAAATCTTTTTACTCTCTCTTTTACATTTAAAAAATCCATCTATTATATTTTGCCTTAATATCATCCATGTATGTTATAGTTTCGTTGCCATCATCGTATTCTCCATCAATGGATGCCACTAACGCTATTAAAAATGATCCCGTAATGTTTTGATGGCATGAAATTTCATTCATCCGCATTTTGGTTCTTGAATTTTTTTTTGAAAAACTTTACTTCTCTCCCTATTTATGTTTTACAAAAAAATTCCTTGATTGAAATTTTATGGTCATCATATTTTATAGTAAATAAAATTTAGTAGTTGACTTAATTTTCTTCAATTAAGTTCCTATGTGTCAAATCATTAAGCTGTGTCAAAATTCTCAAAATAGATATATGATATTATAGGAAAAAATTAATAAAAACACAATAGTAAAAAATAATTATATTCATGATCAATTAATCCAATCGAACTAAAATTATCAAGAAATTAAGGAGTTGAGCTATTACTTTTAGATAGAATTAATTCCTATGATATCATATATCTATCATGAAAAAAAAATCTTCTTTTTAAAAATTTTGGTCTCAATTGTTCT